TTTTTTTTTCTCCCCTCAATTTTCTATATATAATCTATATAGTTATATATATGTTCACATATACATTTTTTTATTATTATTATTATTATTAGTCCGGCTGATTTAACATGACCAATTTACATTTTTTTTAATAAAATCAAAGAACTAAATCATATATTTAAAAACAGCGTATATTAATTCATTTAAAAAGTATAGGCATTTTCGTCTCATTAAGGAGTCAATTGGCATAAAGGACAACGAAGGAATCGAGCGGCTCGCCCTCAATGTCTCGAGCCTGAGTTTGATTGAGATGAACCTCAATTATTTGAGGTCTATTCGGGTGTTCGATGAATTAAGAATCGTGGTATGAAACGAGAGCGGTCCCACGCTGCTGAAGCGCATTATGACATGGAAAGCCCAAGTGAAGTTTCATCTCAAAACCGATTGGTTGATGAAAGGACACTACAAAAAAATTGTTATATTCCAACGGAAAATCCTATGGTAATATATTCTAATAAAAATTCCAACGGATATTCCAATGGTATAGCTTCCGTTGGAATGTGTTTTTCATTGGAATTTTAGATGGAATTTGGTGATTCCAACGGCTATATTTCCAACGACTTTTTACCGTAGGACTTTCCCTTGGAAGATGCAATGTTCGTTGGAATTTTTATTTCCACCACCGTTGGAAAATCCACCGTTGGAATCCTTTTCCACCCCCGTTGGAAAATCCACCGTTGGAATCGTCAAAATCCAACGGAAATTCCAATAGAAACTCATTCCAACGGAATAATTCTATTGGAATTTCCGTTGGAATCTATTGAAAAATTCCAACGGAAATAATAGTATTGAAATATCCGTTGGAATTGTCGTTGGAATTATTCTATTATAATAAATTTCCGTTGGAATTTTATCATTTTCTTGTAGTGGGAGTAGCCCACTAAGCTTATAAGTTAAACATATTTTCCCTTTATAAACAATGTGGGACAACTCACAAGTGTTATTATATTCTAATAATGAGTTATTCGAATACATGTGAAATTACCTAAATACCGACATTTTCAATTGAAATATCAAGCGAACAAAATTCAAGAACATCTCATTGCGTATTTCTTGAGATATATTGACTTAAACATGTTCGGCTCATTGAGCTCGGACATCAGTCCAAAACAATCGAGCCTAACTTGATGAAGACGACATTCAGTGTGTTTGCACTTTGCAACCTGATGTGGTCGTTAGTAGCGGCTCATGAAGGACCGGTTGTGACCCGGGTTCTAGTCGTTGGTAGGCGGTTGCTTGGGTAGGCGGATGCTTTGGTAGGCGGATGCTTTGGTAGGCGGATGCTCTGGTATGCTTAGCCCATGGTACCTTTGGAGTACATGGGTGGTAGGTGGAGGCTAGCTCAACGAGAGCTAGGCAGGGCACTTTGGCACCTCGGTAGCTGGACGTTCCGCCGGGGAGACCCGAGCCCAGGGGTGGTATCATGCTCGAGTCGTAAAGAGATTCGTAACCTCAAGGACTCTTGGAATTTTGACATAATCTGAGGAGAACACTCATGGTATGATAAGAACTCTATAGCCTCTACATGTCTTCATCTATAAAAGGGGCGCAGGTTATTTCATTTACACAACACACACATACAAATTCTCTCGTTACTCTGCCACTTTTTCTTCGGATCACCACTGACTTGAGCGTCGGAGTGTTCGCGCTGGGACCACCCCCGGCGTGTTTTGCAGGTACCGGCGATCAAGGAGACGTAACCCGGTTCGAAGAGGAGCGGTCCAGCGGTCCAGGTTTGTGTGGTATAACAAATTGGCGCCGTCAATGGGGACAATCAGTCTTCTACCGGAGCACTAAAGGCTGTTTTTTCTCACCAAGGAAGAATAGAACAAGTATCATGGCAGGAGATAATTCGAAGAAGAGCTTGACTAAGGAGATGGATGATGAGTGGGCTCGGAGGGCCTTCGGAATAGGTCCCCCGCCAGGATGGTCACCCTCGCCTGTTACCCCCAAAGAGACGCTGTTGGGCCCAAGTGTGACCCCGGTACCACAATCAGAAGAAAAGGGAGGCATGTGTTTGGGTAGGTAGTCACATGAATTTAGGTGGGAGCAAGAAGAAAAATGTGCAACACATGGTGGGTGGGCACATGAGGCCGACATCCTCACCACGGTTTAGTGGCTCGACATTTTTGCGTCGGTTTGGCATGGTGGCTTTCCGACATTGGGCAGGCATGGCTAAGCCGCGGGCGGTCGGCATTGAAGTGTTTCGGTCGGCGTCACATGTACGGCATGGGTGTCGGGTCGGCATTGCGCGTGGGTAGGTCGTTGCGTGCAGTAGGTCGGCATGTTCAATGGGTCGACATTGGAGTGATGCGACAGGTCCGCATGTTCAATGGGTCGGCATTGGAGTGGTGCGACGGGTCGGCATCTTGACGGTGTGAGTGGTTCGCACATGCCTAGGTCGGCATATAGCGGGTCGGCATTGCGTGGGTCGGCAACGCGGGGGCGGTCAGCATCGAGCGGGACGTTGCGCTGAGGGTCGGCCTCGCATGGGTCGCCGCACGGAGGGTCGGCATCGCGCAGGTCGCCGCGTGGTGGGTCGGCATCGGCATCGCGAGCGGTCGGCGTGCTCTAGTGGGCGTCGTGGGTGGTCGACGCCACGGGTGGTCGACACGATCGGTCGGCATCGCACGGGACGTCGCGCTAAGGGTCGGCATCGCATGGGCCGCCGCACGGAGGGTCGGCATCGCGCGGGTCGCTGCATGGAGGGTCGACATTGACACTTGGCGTCACTCGCAGTAGATTGGCATAGGCATCGTGGGTGGTCAACACGCTCGGTCGGCATTGCGGAGGGTCGGCATTATGGGCGGTCGATATGCTCGGTCGACGTCGCGGAGGGTCGGCATTGCGAGCGGTTGGCACGCTCGGTCGGCACTCGTGGGTAGTCGGCATCGCGCAGGTGGTCGACACTCGCGGGTGGTCGGTGTTGCGCGGGGTGCGTGGGTAGTCGGCACCGCGAAGTACGCGACGTTCTTCATGGTGTTCGGGATTCTACGAGCGAGCCCGTTTGGTGTTAAGAAAATTTGGGTAAGGTAGGCGTGAAGCTTGTTACGATGCGTGTAACTGTTCATTCCTTACAACAAGCTTAACTTGTCTAAGGAATGGGGGGGCTAGATGATGTGGTCGTTAGTAGCGGCTCATGAAGGACCGGTTGTGACCTGGGTTCTAGTCGTTGGTAGACGGTTGCTTGGGTAGGCGGATTCTTTGGTAGGCGGATGCTTTGGTAGGCGGATGCTCTGGTATGCTTAGCCCATGGTACCTTTGGAGTACATGGGTGGTAGGTGGAGGCTAGCTCAACGAGAGCTAGGCAGGGCACCTTGGCACCTCGGTAGCTGGACGTTCCGTCGGGGAGACCCGAGCCCAGGGGTGGTATCATGCTCGAGTCGTAAAGAGATTCGTAACCTCAAGGACTCTTGGAATTTTGACATAATCTGAGGAGAAGACTCATGGTATGATAAGAACTCTATAGCCTCTACATGTCTTCATCTATAAAAGGGGCGTAGGTTATTTCATTTACACAACACACACATACAAATTCTCTCGTTACTCTGCCGCTTTTTCTTTGGATCACCACTGACTTGAGCGTCGGAGTGTTCGCGCCGGGACCACCCCCGGCGTGTTTTGCAGGTACCGGCGATCAAGGAGACGTAACCCGATTCGAAGAGGAGCGGTCCAGCGGTTCAAGTTTGTGTGGTATAACACAACCCTTTGTATAGCCTTGTAGTTTTATCTCGTTAAATTGACTGCAACAGTTATGAAATAGGACAAAGATCTTTTTCACTGCAAAAAACTAACTATATATTTTAATTTTTATTTTTCCATTCCACATTTTTAAAATATTACATTTTAATTCGATATGGTACATCATGTTTGCACAATATGCATGATTGTACTATGATCACAATACATTATAGCACTACACGACCGCACCATACAATTACATAACTACACTACACAATCGCAATTTAGGCTGGTTCAAATAAAAACTAAGTCTGGTGTGAGAACTGTGAGAACTATATTTGATTCTAATTTTAATTGTGTATGATGCATGATTGCACAATATTGCATGGTTCTATAATTTTCACAAATGCTAATAAAAATTTTCTTGCTATTTTTAATAAAATACATCACAGTTAAAAGTAGCACTAAAACACAAGCAATCATAGCACTACATACAATTAAAAATAGCAGTTCTCACGGTTCTCACACTAGGACTTGGTTCTCATTTGAACCACATCCATATTTGGTAAGTATATATATAAACTAGCTTATAACTCATTTGATTAGGTTATAAGCGCATCTTGTATTCAAATAAAATTAGCTTGGTATGCTAAAGTACTTTTTTAAAAAGTTCCAGTTTATCTCATAACCTTCTTTGTGTAGCTTTTTAAATAAGTTTATTGAAATTTTTATTTCAACTAATTTATCAGCTAAGTTTACCAAACATTTTTATTATATAATCTAGTTTTTCAGCATATGTCATAAGCTATCAGCTAAGCTCGAAATTTATTAAAAAGGCTATAAGCTAATTTATCAACTATAAACCAACTTACCAGAAGGTCCCCCTGTGGATCCGGAAATCGGAAGGTCCCTGTACCAAAAAAAAGAATAATAGATATATATACACATGTTTTTGTATCTATCTATACCAATAATCTACCCACCCTACGTACGGCATCCTCACTACACTTCCAATATTGTGTCTTAAAGTCACTTTTCTTCCACATATTTATCAAACTATCAACATTTAACCTTCTAAATCACACAACGAAATTCACGTTTTCTTTTACATTTTTTTCACCTTAACTACCTCATATCACACACACTATATATACCCGTGTGTAATATAACAAACACGTACACTTCAAAAAGAAAACCACGAAAGGAAACAAAAATATAAACAACCAATTTAAAAAAAATAAAAATAAAATTAAAAAAAAAAATGCAGAGCTGCTTACAGAGCTGGCCCGAACCCGTGACCCGGGTCCAAAACTTATCAGAGAGCGGTATCCGGGCCATACCCGACCGCTACATAAAAAAGCCCGCGGACCGGCCAGTGTCCTCCGACCCGGTCAACCTCGAGATCCCGGTTGTTGACATGCAGGGACTCTTGTCTGACGACATTGAAATACGCCGGAAAACGGAGGCCTCAATAGATTGGGCCTGCAGGGAGTGGGGTTTTTTTCAGGCGACAGGCCACGGAGTGGGCCCGGAGCTAATGGGCCGGGCCCGGGAGGCGTGGAGGGGCTTTTTTGGGCTGCCAATGGAGGAGAAGCAGAAGTACGCGAACTTGCCGGCGACTTACGAGGGTTACGGGAGCCGGCTCGGGGTGGAAAATGATGTGGCGCTCGACTGGAGCGACTATTTTTTCCTGCACTACTTGCCGGAGAGTATCCGGGACGAGGGGAAGTGGCCAAGCCAACCGGACTCATGCAGGTGATATTTAGTATTTTTGAATAAAGTGAAAATAGTTATATTCACTCCATTGCAAAAATATGTTAATTTTTTTCGTATAGTGCACTGATAAGTTAACTTTTTCAGCTCGAAAAGTGCGACTGTATTATACAATGAACATACGTCAGTAATGAACATACGTCAGTAATGCAGTTCATTCACATAGCTCTTCGCGCTTACTAGAGTGAAAAAGTTAAATAGTCGACGAACGATGTAAAAAAACTTAATATACTATAGTGAGGTGAAAAAGATGCGTTGAATATATCTGGGCAAAAATGCATTTTTAATCCTATTGGTTCAACGATATAGGAATTTTTAGTCTTAGGTTCCAACTTTTCGTCTTTTGATCCTTTTGATTTAATATCTTGTGCTGAGGACTTAAATTGCAACAAAATTTTAAATTATAAAACTTAAATTGTTAATAAAAAATTATAAATTTGAAAATTTGTTGAAGATTGAGTCATGAAAAGACTGAAATTGGAACAAAATATTAAATTACAAGACCTAAAGGTGAAATATTAGAATTTAAGGACTAAAAGTACTGTAGTGTTAAACCAATAGAACTAAAAATGGGGAAATGTTATGGTTTCGTTACGGAACCATTCCGTCGATTGTCTTAACCGTTAGATCATCTATCTTATACTAACTACATGTGTATTCAACGGTTAAAACTCCCGACGAAATGGTTAAGACTACATGTAATGAGTGACCGTTGGTTAGATTCACATCCATGTGGCTGTGGGTGAGTGTTTGATATAATGGTGGAAAGTTGAGTGTGGACAGTGGCCACACATTTGGATAGACTTTTCCTTATTTGGTTAGGATTTTTGTGCACGTGTTGGAAGTTATTTTTGGACGTTAATATTGGTTCACTTTTATAATTTATTTGTTTGTTTGTGTGTGTGTGTGTGTTTTGTTTCTTTTCTTGGTGAATGGTGTTGGAAGTTATTTTTGGACGTTAATATGGGTTCACTTTTATTTCTTTGTTTGTTTTGTGTTTCTTTTTTTACTCTTATTATTAGTTGGTGAATGTTGGAGTATTATAAATTAATTGAGATAAAAAATAAATTTGGAATGTGAGTCTATTAGATCCAGCCTGCAAGAGCAAGTCGGCCAATGGCCTTGTCGAGCTCGATTTCATTTCAATGATGCTCGAGTTCATGGCTCGTTATGGTCAAAATATACAAATTATCGAGACTAGCTCGAATTTATGAGTTTGATTTTCACCCGAATTTTTTATAAAAGAAAAGTTCATTCAAATTTTTTTTTTTATTTTCACAAATTATTTAGTTTAAGATCAATTCGAGTTGGGTTTGAGTTTAACTTGAGTTATGGGTATTTAGTTAAATTACACTTATATTTGAGCTCCACGTCGAGGGCTCCAACTTGTGAAACTCAATCTCAAAATTAAGTTTCGAGTTACTCGAGTTTGGTCAAACTCGAGTTCAAGTCG